TAAACATAGTGTATGGTTTAGCAAATGTGTAAATGACCCCACAGCACAGCAGTGTCTTCAGTTAATGACGAGTACAATGGGTCAATCTACTTCAAAGCATAATTTTCTAGAATTCTAGAACTAGCCAGGACTGGAGAAAAATAATGAGGCTGAAATTAAACCTTACACACTTATGTTAAGAGTGCTAGGATGTATTCATTACTATTATTGACTATGTTCAGTTATACTTCCATTTATTGAATAATGCTTGTGAAAGGAGCAGTACATAAAGAAAATATATGCCTGGATTTAGGTGTTGGATATGTTCACAGTGAAATTACTGATATATATGTAATATAAGAAATTTAGTAGTTGATTTGCATCTTTGTAGGCTTTTTATTCCAGTGGGCTTAGTAAGCACTTAGGCAGAATTCCTAAATGCACTTTCCTAGAAATTAATATCATTTACACAAATGGGATTTTAATGTAAATGGATTTAGGACTGGGTACTTAGAAAGCAATGGTGCCAGTAAAATTACTGTCATTTTGTATTACTGGAATATTTCTAGTGTATTTATCCAGAGCAGAATCAATGCTTCTGGTGGGGGAAATGCCTTTACGGCATCTACCCATTTTCCCATCTGCTGTGGAGTTTCAGGGACCCTAGAGAAGATATGGGAAGTCTAGGGAGAAGGAGGGAGAAGGAGTGGGTGTCAGCATACATGTTAACTTCACAGAGTCATGCATAGGAAATAGGCAGCCATATAAATGTATTAAATAAACAAATAAGACATTACGTTGATTCCTTGGTTTAAATCATCATAGTTACCTGGGAATTCTGGTGGCCTTTCCTTCAAAAACATTTCGGTCTGAAGATTTTGTTTGACCTTATTTTTTGTATAATTTTATTAGAACAGCATGTAAGCAAATGATTTTGTATACAGTATTCTATTTTTGTAAATGAAAAGTAAGAGACTGAAGTGCTATTATTAAGTTGTGCGGCCTGATTTATATGTTAAAATGTTTATATGCTCTCCCAGGGGCATCTCTGGGGAAGTGTAAAAAAAAAAAAAGCCAGTCATGGCAACTGATTGAACCAGTGGTGGGATTCAAATATTTTTACTACCGTTTCTGTGGGCGTGGCTTGGTGGGTGTGGCAGGGGAAGAATACTGTAAAATCACCAGTCAGAGGCGGTATTTGCCAGTTCTCCGAACTACTCAAAATTTTTGCTACCGGTTCTCTAGAACTGGTCAGAACCTGCTAAATACCATCTCTGGATTGAACCCCTTGTACATGCGTGTGTTTTGACACACATAGAAATGGGATGGGGTGTGGATTGCATTGCCGTAACCTTTATCTGTACATTTTAACACATCTTCCCCAGATGGATGCTCTGAATCCCATCTTTTCAGTTCGTTTTTAGGCCCCAGGATTTAAAAGTTTAAAAACAATAAAATCAGGTAGAAATTTCATATCTGGTAGCAACAACAAAAGTAACAGTGAAAGAAAATAATTATTGAAGTTAAAACCAATCTAAAAACAAAGAGGACATGAATATGTTTGTTATAATTGTCCTACAGGTGGGTACATTAGAGACAGTGATCAGACTCTGTCGATACGCATCTTTTAGCTTTTTGAGCTTAAAATTAGATGATTTATTTAGATCTAGAAGTAAGATTTAGAAAGCCATTCTTTAGAAAATGGATAACTTCAGTTGGTATCTTATGCATTCATTATAACATTTTTAAAGCATATGCAAGAAACGTGACAGACATATTTAGGAAAATATCCAGTCTAATTGTAATTAATAGTGCATTTTAATTGTTTTTAATATTACTTTTTAAATTAAAGAGTGTTTATTCCAGCTATAAACTTATTTCATATATCATATTGTGCCTCAATTTAAGAGCTCATAGCATTTAATATCTGAAACTATATTTAAGGCTAACTAACCTGAACCAATCCTGAATGAGTAGCACTTTATCTGTTTATTCTCATAAACAAATGACTTGATTAGAGATTGATTTAATGACTTTGATACAAATTTAATAGTTGAATACAATTTTACTGATTGCGTGATTAAGGTCTTCAAATGTGGATACATCCTGGGATTCCCTTGATTATAATCCTATACGTTATTATAATTTTATAAAAATATGATTACTTTTATGAGACTGAACAGATAGCTCAAATTAGTTTTGTAAGACAGTAACAATTCTATTTAACATACATTAATTTCTTAGGTGCAGTTGATTAGGAGCAGAATATAGGTCTTCTATTAAATAAGATCCCTGTACATCCAGTTCATAATTATTTCTATTGATAGTCGGTAGGCCTCTTGGGTGGGGGTGATGGGTTTGAAAAAGGAGTTTTTAGACATGTGATACTACTATCAGGTGCTGCCAATCTCTTACAATGCTTCCCTTCAGACCATGTATTGCTGTTTTATATTGTTTTGTGACTTGTGAGCAATTTCTGCCATCTCAACACTGTGGCTCCATGGTTTGATATGTTTAATTAAACTGGCATAAATAGCAGTTGGAATCCTTATTAGCAGTGCAAAGTTAACATTATTGGCAGCCTATACTAACTTTTGGTGGGCTTTCCAGTCATTACCTACCTATAATGGTTTTATAATAAAGTAGTCCCAAAGTGGAATAGGCCCAAAGATGAGTACAGGGCTGTCAAACTCTCAGCCCGTGGGCCGGATGCATCATATGCTGGCCACATCCACGCTTGGTTTAGCAAAGGGAAAAAAAGTCTTGATATGTCATGTGATGCTGCTGTGACGTGAGTTGACACCCCTGCACTAATGGAACAAACATGGAAAAAGCAGCATTTATTGCCTTTTCTGTTTCTCTTTATAAATACTTTACTTAGGATGAGAAGAAAGGGAGGGAGAGATTTTTCATCAGTCCAGCAATTGGAGGGAATTGGACAAGCACACCTAACTTTCAGCTGCTGTGATGCCACCTAATTCAGGTGGGTTCTGACTATAGAGGACCAAACCATTATAAAGAGATGGGCAGGTTTTCCTCTTTCAGATGTCCCATTCTACTCCAGTTTATTTTATCTCTTATTAGACTTTCTGAGGAAACCCTAGATGGCTTACAATCACAAGTTTACAGTTTAGCTAGAGTTATGGCTACCAGATTCTGTCTAGGGTAGTTTATTGTGAAAAGTCAGGTGTGCTGTTGCCTCTTTGTCTTTTGGTCACAATTTTTCATTCTTTTGAAAATGAAAAATTGTGATCAAAAGATGACTCTAGGTGTCTTGATCACAATACCACCCAGAGTCATTTTTGTGTGTGCTGGGTGGCCATACACAGTATATATGATAAATAAATGGTAATATGTTACATATATCTTTTACTAAGCATCAACCAATCTTTATGGTAAAAGGTTTGTATTTTAGATCAGGGGTCTCCAACCTTGGCAACTTTAAGCCTGGTGGACTTCAACTTTGTTTTGTGGCCTTCAACTTTGCTTTGCTGGCTGGAGAATTCTGGGAGTTGAAGTCCGCCAGGCTTAAAGTTGCCAAGGTTGGAGACCCCTGCTTTAGATACACACCTACATGCACGTGTTAAAGGATCAGTGTCATCTTGTCGTTTTTTAGATTAAAGCCTTCAAGGGCTACTGTCAGTCGCTGTCAATACTAATAGGTGAAAGGGATAACGGTCTTTCAGCACATAATTCATCACACACATTGATTTAATGGCTACTGCTTAAGCCTGTTTGATTCACATGGAATTAATGTAGACCAGGCGAGCGAACAGGGGAAGTGGAATGTTAAGATGTAACATACTTGAACAGCAGTGAGAAACGCAGGGAAGTATATGATACTAACTGCATTATTTGCCCTGTAAACCAATCTTTGTTCTGTTTACAAGTCTGCTGGATCAGACCTTTCCCTAGGGTTTTTTGTTTTTCTTTTTTTGGCCTTCCTTCTGCAAGATGATGATGGCGGAGGGAGCAAAAGTGACAGAAGGGATTACTCTCCATAATGTAATTTGTGAAATACAAGACTGCCCCTTGTTCACCCCAAACAATCTCTAGCCCTTCTGGAGGGTGGGGTGGGGAGAATGGGTGGGTTTAAGAGCTCCAGCTGATCGACAGGATTTATCAGTCAGCCCAGGAGGAACTACATTGGAAGAACCATACTGCCAAGAAGCAGGTAGAGGTCTTCTACGCCCTAAAGGCTGGTTTGTAGGTTTAATTAGATATATACTACGAGTCCAAAAATCTTTTAATTGGGGTGGGGTGAGGGAATCCATGCCCTGCTCGCATGGATTTTCAGGGGAAATAATGTAAGAGAAATACTGCCCAAGCAGGGTGAAGGTACTCATTGTATTGGCGGCGAACGGGTCCGTTGCTTCCTCAGGTCTCAGAAGGAGATGAAACAAAAGCACGTGTCATTTTTTTTGTTTTTGTTTTTGTTTTTGTTTTGGCGAGGTAAGGCAAAGCAGCCACTTTTACTTCTAGGCAGATGCTGAAGCTCCCAGCACAGAGGGGCCTCCTTTCTCCATCCCCCTCCACCCCACCCCTTCCTGGAGTCGAGTTTCGCACAGGCGCGCGGCTGCTCTCTCTCGCTCTCTCTTCCTCTCTCTCTCTCTTTACACGCTCAGTCACTCTCCTCGTACTCGGTCCGTCTCTCGCGTGTTGTGTCTCTCTCTCTCTCTCGCGCGCGCGCGCGCACGCAGACACCCACCAATACACACGCAGGGAAGTAGGAGGAGAGAACGCAAAACGTAAAAAAAAAAAAGTAGGGAGTGCGGGGTGGGTGGGAGAGAAATCTCAGTTGCACTTCTGGCCCTTTTAAAAAGTTTGTGTAAATTGGAATGAGGTCAGATTTGGAGCTTCTCATTGCACACGGCGATTGGGTTCCAAGCCAATCGGAACCGAAGGGCGGGGTTTTGGCACGACGGAGCGTTGGATACAGCCTAGGATTGGCTTAGAAAAGAGCTGAGGAAGGATAAAGCCGCACGAGGCGGAATTGAGCGCCGCTCTAAGCTGCAGCAAGAGAAAGCGTGTGTAGTGGGGCGGGGGAAAAAAAAGAAAAAAAAGAAAGAGGCCAAGTCCGTAGTCCCGGTTTGTACATGTCTCTTTCCTTTTCGGGGGGCTGTGCATCTACAGGCGAGCAAAACGGGACTCTATACATTTTCTGCACCAGTCACTCTTTTTCCTATTGGGAAGGCATCCGGTTATTCATGCTACTCGGGTGCAGGAGCGGGGCTTTTTACCCCCAGCTAACTCCCTGGCAGCCGCTGAATAACCATAGAAAAAACTCTTGATCCCTCCAATTGCGAGTTCTTGGACGAAGATTTTTTTTTTAATCATTATTACCGGTTTCGCTTGGCGACGTGGGCATTTTTCATTTTTTTGGTAGGGTTTTTGTGTCTGTATCTTAAGGATTTTTTTTTAGTAGTGGGCGTGCTGCTTCTGCCGAGACACCGAGTACAGTATTAGGAGAGGGTGAAAGACGGGGGCAAAAAAAGCCACCCACTTGTGAACGCCAGAGTGGGGGAAGAGGTGAGAGAGAGAAAAGTAGGATTGGCAGCTGTTTTGGTTTTTTTTTACTTTTTTTTAAAAGCAAGGCACTCTTTTCACTTAGAGAGCCGGGAGTCTGCTCTCAAACTCGCAGTGCAAAGTTGCGGCGAGAGGCGTGCGCAAGTAGCTGGAGAGGCAAACGCGGTGTGGAGCTACAACTACTTCCCGGAGGGAGTCGTGCCTTAAATAACGGAGGAACCAAGCGCTGGCCAAAGGGGGCTTGGAGAGCTCCGAACTGAGCGGCAAAGTTGAGGGTCTTGTTTCCAGCGGGTGGCCAAGCTGAGCTCCACCGACTTCCCCGCAGCCGCTGCGGCGCGCGCCGAGCCCCCAAAATGGTGCAGCAGACGAACAACGCGGAGAACACGGAAGCCCTCCTGGCCGGTGAGAGCTCGGACTCCGGGGCCAGCATCGAACTGGGCATCGCCTCTTCTCCCACTCCGGGCTCGACTGCTTCGACCGGGGGCAAAGCGGACGATCCGAGCTGGTGCAAGACGCCCAGCGGGCACATCAAGCGGCCCATGAACGCCTTCATGGTGTGGTCTCAGATCGAGCGGAGGAAGATCATGGAGCAGTCCCCGGACATGCACAACGCGGAGATCTCCAAGCGCCTGGGCAAGCGGTGGAAGCTGCTCAAGGACAGCGACAAGATCCCTTTCATCCGGGAGGCGGAGCGGCTGCGCCTCAAGCACATGGCGGACTATCCCGACTACAAGTACCGACCCAGGAAGAAGGTGAAATCGGGCACGAACTCTGGGAAGCCGGGTGAGAAGAGCGGGGGTGGAGGGAGTGGCGGCGGCGGCGGCAATCAGGGAGCAGCCGCCTCCGCTGCTGCTTCCAACTCTTCCAAGCTTGCCCAGAAAAAGGGCAGTGCCGCCAAACTCTCTCCCAGTGGCGCCGGCAAGCCGCATCCCAAACTCAGCCCGAGCGGAGGAGGCGGCACAAAAGCTCCGTCCTCTTTTGCATCGGAACAGCCGGCTGCCCTCCTGCCCCCGGAGCACCATTCTCTCTACAAATCCCGCGCCGCCTCGCCGGGCTCCTCCTCGCCCTCCAGCAGCAGCAGCAGCAGCCATAGCAGCAGCCGGCATCTCCCTGAGAAGAAGGCCAAGCGGCTCTTCCTCTTCTCCCACTCGTCGCCCGGCGGCGCCGTTCCGGCCAGCCCGACCCTCAGCACTTCCACAGAAGCCAGCGACCCGTTGAGCCTCTACGACGAAGTAGCGGCCATGGGCGGACGCCCGGACGGCGGGGGCGAGCCCTCCGCTTCCCCCGTGGGCGACTGCTCCCCTTCGGACCACCGAAGCTACACCAGCCTGCGGGCGCCGTCGCCGACCCTTTCGACCTCGCACTCTTCGTCGGCTTCCTCCTCCGCCTCCTGCGCTTCCTCCTCCTCGGACGACGAGTTCGAAGACGACCTGTTGGACCTCAACCCCAGCCCGGGCTTCGACAGCATGGCGCTGGGCAGTCTGAGCTCCTCGGTCCTCGACAGGGATCTGGATTTTAACTTGGAGCCTGGCTCCGGCTCTCACTTTGAGTTCCCAGACTATTGTACCCCGGAGGTAAGTGAGATGATCTCGGGAGACTGGCTCGAATCCAGCATTTCCAACTTGGTATTTACGTACTGAGTTGAGGGGGGGACCGAAGGATTAAGAGGAGAGAGCAAGCGGCGCGAGTGGGGGAAGGGAAGAGACGCGGACATGGCGCTCAACCCCCTCAGGCGCGCTTGCAAAACTGGAGAGCGAGCATTTCACCCACGGTTGAGGATGGTCCCCAATTTCCCCCTCCCCACCGTTACTGACACTGACTTGAGTAGGGGGGGGGGGTGCGCGCGTGGGTTTTTTTTTCTTCTTTAATGTGCTAACCCGGCGAAAGGGATCAACGCGTTCTTCACCGAGAAAGCTACCACAGAAATAACAACGGGACTAAAATCGATCCCCCACCCCCTTTTTCGTCCACGTTTCATCCTCCTTTTGCAGCCGAAGTACGAGAGAAGCACGTTTCAGACTCCGGTGAGAATCTAGTGGCTTAAACAGGAATGGCAACTTTACAAGCAGGAGGGGGTGGAAATCTCGCACATCTTTTGCTGGTTGAATTGGAAGGGAGGGAGATTCTGCGATGTGTATTAGATGTGTCCTTTGGGTTAGGAGCTGAATGCTGGTGCTCTAAAACAAATCTGCAGAGCTGCAGCCAATTTGCGTTTTTGGAAGGTTCTCTTGTTATACATCAAAAGGGATGGGGGGAAAGAGGATGGCCCTGGGAACTGGACCGAGCCCTAAATGGAATGAAAAGGCAAGACAAGCATTTGTAAACTGAACTGGAAATTCGGCTGAAAACAAAAATAATAAAATCGAAAAGGATTTGCACGTATGTGGGAGAAGGTGGTGATTTTCTTTGCCACCCATTACCTTATATTCATAGAAATCATATGTGGAATTTCAGCAACACATAACTTTTTTTAAAATGGAAACATTCTATAGAACATACCAACTGTAATAATGTGGTACACATTACAGGGGAAATTGAGGGCGATTGCTCTTTCTTGCAAAAATGTGTTTTTCTTACTCAGAATCGTGATGGTGTTGGATTATTTCTCTGGTGGGTTTTAATATAGCATGTTATCCTATCTTTTGGAGGGTTTTTTTTGTAAGACTGTTGAACAGTTTAAAAAGAAATAGTGTTAGAATAATATAAAAAGCAGATAGATGGCGCTATGTTTGATTCCTTCAAAAATTATCACCAGCTTTTTTTCACTCTTAACTCTTTAAAGGATTCAAACGCAACTCAAATCTGTGCTGGACTTCAAAAAAGAACACAGGACCAAATTTTTCCTCAGTGTGTGTGTGTGTATGTGTGTGTGTTCCTCTGTAGCTGTAAATGAAGACTTTTTTCACACCAGGATTCATTCTTGAAATGTTTTTTTTTTTCTTTCTAAATGGAATTGGATGCCATTTTATAAGTGAAGTATTTATACTGGCCAAATGTTTTTACTTGTATTCCTTTGTCCTTTTTTTGATAGTTCTGTTTGTTACCCACACCATTTTTATGTCACCTTCACTGAAGGGCTAGAGTTTTAACTTTTAATTTTTATATTTAAATGTAGACTTTTGACACTTTTAAAAACAGAAGAGAAGATGAAAACGTTTGATTATTTTCTCAGTGTATTTTTGTAAAAAATATATAAGGGGTGTAAATTGCTGTTTTGGATTTCCTGATTATAAATAGGGCTGCTGGTTAATCTCTCACACAAAATCAGTCCCTACTTTCATCATGTTTACACTCCAATCTGCAGGCTTCTTAAAGAGACAGTATCTCTTCTATCTACCATTCAACTCTACTTGTGAGTTGACAGAGGGATTGAACTCTAATTCACTGTAGGGCTAATTTCTAACAAATCTTCCCTCAAAATAAATGTTACATTGTACAGAGAAAACAATATTTTTCAGGAAAAAGGGATCCTGTAGCTTTAACTTCAAAACCACATCTTTTGCACTTTTTGTAAGCAAAAACAAAGTAAATAAAAACCATGCCATTTAAATCACTGGACCTATCTAAATGCCGATTTGAGTTCGCAACACTATGTACTGCATTTTTCATTCTTGTATTTGACTATTTAATCCTTATACTTGTCGCTAAGTATAATTGTTTTAGTCTCTTATGGCATGATGATAGCATATGTATTCAGGTTTATAGCTGTTGTGTTTAAGATGAGAAAAAGTGAAAACATCTTTGTACATTTAAGTCTGTATAATAATAAGCAAAAAAGATTGTGTGTTTATGTATGTTAATATAACATGACAGGCATGAGGACATCTGCCTAATGAAGAGGTTCCGTTAAGGGTTTTTTAATCTTTGGTTTCCTTTTTAGTTTTTTGGTCATCCATCCTGTGCAATATGCTGTGTGGAATATCTTTGTCTAAGGATCTGCCCATAATAACAATGTTGGGTGGGGAGGGGAGGGGAGGGGAAAGCTGGCTAATAAAAGCCAAGTTCACTGCCTGTCAGATTGTCAATATTCTTTCTGTAAATAACCTTTTCCCCAAAGGAAATAAAATCAGCTGGAACTGAACCCTAAAACCCTGCTCCTATTGTCATTATTTTAGACTTTCTGGCTGTGTATTTTTGCCCTGTCAAATAACAGCTCTGCATATACGAGACCCATCACTGCGAAATGCTTTCAATAGAGAAATGTGTCTCTCCTCCCCTTCCCGCCAGCTGAAGCCTCATCTCTTTGTGCGTCCTTGGAGGTGTTCTGTGCTTGCATGCTTTCTAGGAATAGGCATGTATTAAGAAAACGTTAATAGCGTTTTCAGGGGAAAGGCCAAAAGACTAGAATGGGAGATGGACTTGTGCTCAGAGAAGGCCATTAGAGAGGAAATGCAACTATAAGGAATGTGCTTTAAAAGGTGCTATTATTAACCATTTTGTCCTATCAATGTGACCTTGCAAGTGTGAAATTCCTGTCTTAACATCCCTTTAATTTTGATTAGGGTACTTCTAGGGTTTTCAAATGGATTTTATAGCTGATGAATTACATCAAGCTTATCTTCCATTCTTTGAGAAAAAATATATATAATTTAAATGTTCTTAGCTTGATTCATTGCCAAAATAACAAACTTATTTCCCTTTCCTGGTATCCCGTAACCAATTGCAGAAGACCCTATAACAAAAACTGGGCAGAGAACTGGGAACAGAAATGCACACTGAACAGTATTATTCTTGGTGCCAGTCTCTCTGCAAGGTGTCATCTGGCCCTTTTGTCTTTTATATAGCCCCTTTTCAAGCAGATGTGAAATGGGTCAGTAGGCGAACTGTTAAGTATTGTGGCAGCTTTGATGAAGCTTAGAATATGCACTGCAGACCGACTGGGGGTGGGGAAACAACTTCTTACATAGCCACAAAATCAGTCATCGAATTGAATTCTACTGTAAATATATATGCACTGAATATATAGCTGAAAAAAATAGTTTTCTATTTCCCTCATCAATTACACTTAGTACTTAAATGTTAAACAAATCCTTAATTGGAAATAAGATATGTATTTTATTTTTTAAAGTACAATGTTCCTTTTTCAAATGAATCCAGTAAATGTGAGCACATTTAATGGGCTGCTAAGTACTGGTAGGTTATCGAGAATGTCACAAAAACATCAATAATGGCTCCTTTCTAGTAGACAATGTTTCGATGATGAACTAGTGCAATAGTGGATGGACACTGTCTTCATGGATTCCTAGAGAACAATGGATGGACTGTGTTGCATGATAATTTACCTACTGTTTGCTTGACCATGGTTTATACAATCCGTGTTTGCAGGACCTAGTGAACCATTAACTACATGGGTTAGGTTAGGTTTTTACAAGCCACCAGAGTTAAATATGGTTTAGTGGGTTTTTTTATGAACTGTTAAAACATAACCATTTGGTACATTTGGTTTTTAATTTAAGGAGCAGCATACTTCACATAAGACAGGCCAATGTTTACAATACTGCATATGTTTTCATTCACAAAGATTGTCAAATTGCACAATTAACAAGTGAAAAAAATGGAAAAATGTTTCAAAATATAGCTGAATCCTTTGTAGCTTATTTAATAAACTGCCTTCCCTAGGGATTTTTATGCATGAAGGAACATTTAAATAGGCAGTTTCTATTCTGTTTGTACTACACATTTTCCCAAGATTAACCATGTTTTGGAATCAAACTAGCATTCTAGGTTTGCATATCACATTGATCTAGCCATATGGGCTGGACTAAAATATGGCCAAGTAAACTAGTTTGTGGTGTGGTATATTGCAAAAAAACCTTACATCATATAAGTCAAATACATTAAAGTAGTCTGCTAGCTTGGTGGGCACTGGGCAATCTTGGATTATCAGTATGGAATGCATAGTAGTTGTTAGACAGCTTTCAGCTTTCTAAATTTGCAGATAACTGAGCAGGAATTAACTACTGATACTATAAATTAAGTGAAGGCTATATTGCTTATATTTCTAGGCACTGGGATTGGTTGCAAGTTACAAGTCTCTGGATTCTTGAACCTCAATATACGTAATTTCAACATATAAAGAGATTCAGAACAATTTTTATTAAAATGGGGTACAAACGTTTAAAATACTGGTTTATCCACACACATGTTCAACCACAGACGAATTCACTGATACTGTGCAGCATTTAACATGCCAGGAGATCCTTTTTCAAATTCATGCTCAGTCATAGGAACCCACAAATGACTTAGTCCAACATACAACACAGAATTTGTGTGGGTAAGATGGTGGGACAACCTTATGTAAGATGCTTTGTTCTCCTTTAGAAAAAAAATGAGAAAATCTAAATTCAGTACTTTTTTAGTCCATATATTTTATACTTCATACTTTAGGGTTCAATCTGCCATTAAATTGAGCAAACTACACTGAATCAACTATGGTTAACTATGAATTGGTACATTTTGGGAAGAAAGCCAAAGTGATCATCTCATCCTCTAATATTTACTCAGTTTCAGTACTGAAACTGGACTAAAATAGGAGCCATTTGCTACTTGAAACTTACACAAAGTGCTTTCTTTTCTCCCCTGAAACTGTTCCCTCTGTGCATTGGTGACTGAATGTGCCTTCTGTCCCAGAATCTGAGTAATCAATTATATCAAGGATGAAGAGAATATTCTAAGTTTACCACACTTTAATATACCCAGACTTTAATATTCCTCTCTAGGATACAGTAAACTGTCAGGACTGCAAACAGGTTTCCTCCACATTTCTCTCTCACACACAATTATTCTGAATGACTGTGAACCACAGATTTAATTGCTGGTCACACAAGTTGCTAAAATTCTTGTATTTTTAGCCCTTTCTGGATAGGATGCACAAGGCATGTCAGCCACAAAATAGCCCAAGTATCTTTTAGCCTAGCATATTGTGCAAAGTCCTGTCCTTGTGACTTTAATATGAATAAGCTACTGCTTGAATGGTGTCATCTACTGTAATAAGGCTTAAACCACATTACCGATGATACTGTAATTGACTCTGTTGACAATGATTATGACTCAGTTTTGTCAGGATGGGAGGTGGAGGTCCCTTTAACTGTTCCTCCCATGCCATTTTCCAAATTGCACTGTGGTTTCTTCCTTCAGTGCTACTTCCTGATGCATGAACAAAAGCTTTGCATTGTGTTTTCAATCAAGCAATTGTGTTTGTATATATGAACCTATAAAAAGGATGGTGAACAGAGTGATAGGGTTAAACATACTCTTCATTCCCCCATTGAAATACACATATGCCATGTGTTGTAAGTATTGGATGGAAGAATGTGTGAATATTTCCTAGCATAGGAAAGACGGTATGAAATATCAGGCAACAGATTCTAACCTGTCTACAAGTCATTGTATGAGATTCCTGCCCTGGATGTCACAATCACCAATTTTATTTATTATCAAAGAGCCAGCATCTGAGATAACAAATCTGATATTTCAATTTACTTAATCCATAGTCCTCTAGTACTTCAGAAGGATTAAAAATTCATGGGTTCCATTTATTTAGATCTTTATCCCATTTTTATTAAGGTGCTTGAAATGGTTTTCCATCTTATTTATCCCACCTCAAAAATACCCTAGAGGATTGGGCTTAAAAAAGGATTGGTCCAAATGGTGTCTAGATATGACTCTCTTTGGTACCAACCCAATAACCTTAACCTAGTGTTTTCCAAACAGTGCTATGGTACCCCAGAGCCCTGCAGTAGTTCTGTATATTACGTAGTAAAATATACTGCTGGGTTCCTATGAATTTGGGAAATGTGGCTTATGAATGATTGGTCCGACTCTGTACTTAAAGCGGGACTAGAACTCACGATCTCCCAGTTTATAGCCTCGTGCCTTAAATACAGCACCAAACTCTCTTCTAAGTTAAAGTTTGTACACCCAAAATATGTTCTTAAAATAAGGGAATGCTGAATTCAGAAATGACTTTTTCAGGAAAAAAGTTGTTTTAGAATATAAATTTGCTACCTGGGTAACAAATTTAAATAATTATTATAAAAAACAAAGGATGGATAGTTTCCACCTGAAAACTGAAATTTACATTGTCAAAATATTATGTAAAACTCGCACATCAACCCAGCACAATGAGGATTTTTATTTTTTGTATCAGACTTGCAGTTTATTGAGATGGCAGAATACTCACAACCTTATTCAGAGAAATAATATAGTAACTGAGCAAGTGTTAAATTCTAAATACAACATGAGTAAATAACTTCTGTTATGCGTAGACTAGGAAAATACAAGATGGTTCTTTCAGACATCAAAAGAACATCATTCAAGTAAGCGGTCAGGCCAAACATGAGAGAAAAGATTGATAATGTATATTATCATTGCTTAGCTTAAGCCATGATATATTTGAATCACGATTTTCTGAATAAAATACGAAGGCTGATTTCAGGTAACATCCCAAACCAAATAAACAATGTTATGGGATTTGCATATTGTACGAACCTCAAAAGTATTATTGGTGATATTGCCAAAAACTGGGTTATATGAGAAGGAAAACCAATAGCATTCCACTGGATGTTGCTATAAATGGATGTGTATATTTGCCTTGATAGACAAATTAATTCATAGATTTTATCAACAAAGGAACTAATTAAAAAATAATTCTATCTGACAAGCTGAATTGTTTTAGAAAAATTGGCTTTCCTGTACTAAGGATAAATAACTGTGTATTATTTAATATAGGATTCTTCCAGCTAGCCCAATTTTATTTAAGTTTTTATTTAATATCATTTATACACTGCCCCAATCCCGAATGACTGTGTACAGCCACAACAAATGTTGTGTGTGTGTGGGGGATCAGAAATCTAAAAAAAAAAAAAGAGACCAAAACAACTTAGACATCTGAAATTACTAAGATGAAGGCCACAGCCAAATCAACTAGCTTGTCAGAACCCAAAGGTTCTTGGGAGTGCACATGTACCTCCAGAGCAAGGATGTTCCAGAGAATGCCATCTGTAATTAAACAGCCTATCAAATTGGCCCTCTTTCAAAGAAGATGGCACTATCCTTTCCCTCAAAGAAGCATTGA